AGGGGCAGGATGGCTTCCTGCACGCCTCTGCTCATAGCTGGAGCACCTTGGTCCTTTGTCCCTTCTGGAGTGTGGGAGGAAGGACCTCCCCTCAGTTCTTTTCTAGATCAGGGTTTGTAATGCCCTACCCTCCAGCCTAGGAGATAAGAGCCCAAGTTCTTTGTGTGCAGGAAGAGTGTGATTTTGTTGCAGACTCTACAGAGTATTCTCATTTGCTGACTTCCTTTAGTCTTTGAATCTGTGTTTAGAAACTAATAATAATTTCAACAACTCATGTTTATTCTTTTACCACGTGACAGGCACTTTCTGTACATTATCTCATCAAGTCTTCCCAACAGTCCTTCCTCTGAGTCACTATATTTATTTCATAGCTACCAAGTATAAATAAAATTCATATTAAAGGTGACTACTTTCCCCTTCCATGTTGAGTACTTGGTTTTTTTTTTTTTTTTTTTTGTTACTCCCTCATGAGTCTCTCACCCCAGGAGCATTCAACTACTATGTGGTTGCTGAGAGGCCCATGTGGCAGGGGACCAAGGCCTGCCAACAACCACAGAGGGAGTTTGGTAACAGGTTCTGCCTAAAAGTCAAAGCTTCCAGATGAGACCTCAGTGGCTCTGCCAGCCACTTGATTAAACTCTCCAAAGAAGCTTTGAGCCAGAGACACCCGCTTAAGACACAACCCAGATTCCTGATCCATAGAACCAATAAAGTAATATGTACTGCAAGTTTGGGGGTATTTGTCATATGGCAGTGGATAGATAGCTAGTGCATCTCTAGCCCACGCTGTTGCCCAGTCTACACTGAAACAAAATCCATCATCACTCCTCGCGCAGGACTGTAATTGATCCCCAAAGGCAGCAGGAAACTCGAAGTCCCTCTCAGAAGCTAGTTTTGAGGAGAGAAACTCTTATCAGTTGAGGAAGTGGCTGTCACTTTGAGAGGCAGTGAGTTCCTGTAGCTCTGTAAGGAGCAGGGCCTGGGATGACTGGCCAGGGCCTGGAAGGCCATCTTCAGAATAGCTGTGGCTCATTAACTGACGCTTCCTGGGCCCAGGGCACCAGTGTGTGCTGGTCTACAGAGGCCCACATCACCTTTTCAGGAGGAAACAAGGAGTCTGTTCCATGTCACATCCAGAGAGACTGGACCCAGGGATGGCATTGGGTCCAATGTTTAAAAATTTAAACAAATTTTTAAAATTACCAAAGCAACACATTGTTTGCTATAAAGACACTAAAAATTAGTCTATAAAGGAAAAAGTAAAAATCATTTTCTTCTTCTGCACCCACTCAAGCACCAGCTACTAGCAACTGCACATGTGCCATTCCAGACATTCCCGGCCACATCTACAATCTGTATGCCATGTATGGGAGGAGGTACAATACTGTGCTTTTTAACCAAAATGGGAACATTTTGTTTGTGTTGTTTTGCACCTTACTTTATTTCCAACTGAGAATATCACAGATCCTGTGCAGTGACAGCAAATGTGGGACTCCATCATTCTCTCTGTGGCCTTCATAGATGCCTGGGTGATTTGCTGGGTTTTGCTGGATCTGTGCTGATCTGTGTAGCCATGGCCTAACTGATAATCACTGAAGTGGTTTCTCCATTTTACAGGTGACACTGTGGGAAACATCTTTCCACCCATGAATATATTCACCCATCATCATTCTGAAACAGGCATGTTAGGTGCTAGGCGTGGAGTGGCTGCTGGGGCATAGATGGGGGGTTGCGATTTTCCTATAGCCACTGCTGGGAAGCTGCTACAAAGGCTGCCTTTGCCTTCTACCCACTGTGTGGGCCTGGCTGCTTTTCCTCCTCCACGTGCCAGCTGTTGCCAGTCACCTTTTACATATGTTGAAGTGACAGGTGAAAGCATCTTTTAAACATACAGTTCTCTATTTGTCAGTTCTCTCAGTTTCTGGTCAGGCCTCCCACCCACCTGACCAGTCACTCTCTACCTCTGCCTCTGCTTCCTGACTATCAGTCCTAATCCCTCTCCCTGTGTCCCCAGCACAGCATTCACTGTCCTCATCCGTGAGGAACAGCTGGCTTTGGTTTCCTGGGCAGAGAGGCCAACCTAAAGCCTACGTCTAGCACGTGTGTCTGGGACCTGCGCAGTATTCTGGACTTTAGGGCGGCTGTGTGCTTCTTCCAGCCCTTTCCCCTGTCAAGATGATGAGGGTGTAGGCCCCTGTCATCATGTGCCTTCAGAAGAGAACTCTAGGGCAGCTGTCTGCCCACTCTGAGATGTGCCTTAGCTTTAGTGGGAGAGGGGGCAGCCCTTGACCAACCCCTGGGCCAGATTCATTATGACCATCTGTGAACAGTGCACAGGACAGCCAGACAGCCATCCACCCAGGAGGGGCCGCATGTGGGAGTGCTTTGGGAGGCTGTGCAGATGGGAGGTATAGTTCCAGTCAGGGTCCTCTGTGTGGGCTCAGCTGACCCAGGATGTCCAGGTCAGGAGACACAGGATACTTGAATGCCTCAGGGATAGTTGGCACCAAGACCTGTGTCCAGGGCACAGGGTGAAATTTCAGGTAAGAAGTGGCTCTGGTCTGACTCTGGGATCTGAATGAGGCAGGTTAGCAAGCCTCGATCCTAGATGTGTGAAAATATGAGCCGAGCTGTCACACCCACAACCCGGTTACCAGACAGTGTAGACTAGGGCTTGGGCCAGGAAGAACGAGTATATTAGGTGACAGCCAGACTAGCCTCAGGTAGGACATGAGTGCCAAAGACAGGTTGTAAGACAAGTGGGTCTCTGTCTCATAGGAATAAGAGAACCATGGGGCGACTGGTATTGACCCTGGCAAAGGACTCCTAGAAGGGCCCAGAAGCTGGAAAATATTCTCCATCCCTGCCCCCGGTTATTCTGTCTCCATTGTGCTCAGGCAGATTGGGCACACAGCCATGGACTGGCTTCCTGATAGCCAGCTGTTCTGCAGACATGTGTGATGTCCATGCTCTGGCCAGGAGGCTGCATACCAGCATGGTTTTCAGATGCAAAGTTGACTGATGATGAGGGAGATGTGAGCCCTGCTGGTTTCAGTTCCTCCTTGGGTGTGGTGAGGTAAGGACAGAAGAATCAGACCAGCTTAAATTCCCATTGTTTCAGGCCGCCTGTTCTTGGAGGTCACTTTTGTCTTCGAGCCTTCATTTTCTGTGTTGAAAGCATACTCATAGGACCTACCTCATAGGGCTGTATACGAATTTAGAGACATGCTTGATACTTGGGATGCAGAACGCACCAAATAGATGGTAGATGGTGTTAGTGTTATACAGAGCCAAATATAGCAAGGGACTCCCCAGCAGCAGAGACCTTGCTGCCATTTGTATATAGAGACTGTTGAGAAATTCAGCACACGTAGCAAGGGTGGGAAAGGCCCATCAGGGCAGAGCCAGCTGTCATGTTTAGCGACCCAACTGGGCTGGATGAGTTAGTGTATACTTTTTTGGGAGAAAGAAGGGGTCAGCTTGGGAGGAGCTGGTGAAGAGGACCTCAGCTGATGAGTAATGGAATAGAATTCATCTAGCTGGTAAACTTTGGGCTCCAGAGAGGAAAGGGAGCCAGTGACAGCTGAAGTGTAACCTAAATGCCTTTTTATAGAGAGACCCAGTCCATAATCCCTACTTCCTTGGGAAGCTGGGAGCTGCCCCTGCCTCTCACCATTGTAGTCCCTCAGCAGCAGTGTTCATTCCACCTGGCTCTGCTGCAAAGCCTATCAGATCGGGTGGACACCCAGCATGGCTGGCCAATCGTGTCCTCTGCCTGAGAGTTAGCAGGAAGTGTAAAATGTGGAGACCAGAAGACCAAGAGGACTGTGAGCTCAGGATGGCTGTCTGCTCCCGTGTGCTAGGACAAGCAGTGAGAATGGATGAACAGTGAGAAACACAAGAACAACCCTGTAGGAAGAGGAGAGAAAAAGAGCCAGGAAGGGGGCGACCTTGCTTCTTGAAGGGACTCCAGGCCGTTTCTGGTTCCTAGCCTTTATGAGGCCCAAGTACATCTCTCCCTGCCCATGGACTTGGGAACACATCTCATGTCCTTATGTAACCTGGTTATTAAACGAGCTAGAATCAGTCAGGTGTAACATGAAACCAATCTTATTTTCTTCCAGTGTCCTCTTGAGCCTGCTCGGTGGATGATTCCTTTCCCAGCAAAGCTGAGAAATCTTCCTGGTGTCAGACATGACAAAGCCCGGTCCCTTCTATCAGTGCCACCTTGATTTCAGACAGTCTGGGCTTTGTTGACTTTCATATGGGTAACACATGCGCTGTCCATGGAGAACCCATGCTTAGTAGAACTCCTATGATTGTATACTTTAAAAAGTGGCATGGCAGTACACTTAAGAGGCTGAGGCAGGAGGATCACCATGAGTTTGAGGCCAGCCTGGGCTACATAAGCGAGTTCAAGGCTGACCTGAACTACACAACAAACAAACAAACAAACACAAAAGGTCACTGGCTGGGATAGAGGAGGAAGGTTGCAGTGGATCTGGACTGATTAGACTGCAGGGCACTGACTGGTTGTGTTTTCTGGTGAGGCAGCTCCCCTTGATAGCCAGCCTCAGGCCCCTGAGCCCAGCTCCCGTCTCATAGGCTGCTGCCAGTGACCCAGCCTCTTCCTGTCTTACTGGAGGGAGAATGGGCTCCACAGTTCCGAGAGCCTCTTTCTTCTCTTTCCGTACAGCCAGGGTATGGTTTGGACAAGTCTCAGCTTTGGGTGCTGGTGGAGGTTGCAGGAAAGCCCTGGGGTTGCTTCACAGTGTCCAGTTTGACTCGGAGCTTGCCACTCTGGGGCTTGGACCCAGGACGGGTGACCAGCAAGGACTCCTGAGGGCACAGGTAGGGGCCACATGGGAAGAGTGTGCTCCAGACATTGTGGGCCTGTGCCCTGTGCTGAACCGTCTCATGATTTTACTTAAAGAGACATCCATCTGGGAGCCCCAGGAAAGCATACTGAAATAGCAATGCACTACACAGGTACATCCACGTAGCACTGATGGCTTTTATTGCAGATTCATGTCATTACAAGGGTAATCTGGGAATATATTAAAAAAAAAACCCTCCCTTTTATATACATGAAACATGCTACATGATACACTTCTGAGAAATGCTGAGGTAACAGGCTCGCACCAGACGTGGACAGTACCAAACACCCCACACCTCACAGGCCCAACCCCTATACCCTTGGGAGGGTCTCGCCCTCCTGACTCATCTCTTGCCCTGGCTTGGCAGTCATCCTGGCACTGTGGGGCCCAACAGGAGTTAGGAAGCTGCCATGCTGCAGAGCACCCCCCGAGGGATCTGGGGGCCTAGTGATCCAGCAGCTCTTGAGAAGCAGTCAGTTCTGTGCGTGGCCCCTGTCCTCCAGAAAAGCATAGTTCACAGATTAGGGGCCAGCTCTGACTTGCCCATGTTGGGACCTCCAGTCCATAGTCTTGTTGGGACCTCTATGCCCTGGCATTAGGTTCCCTTCATCTGAGTGTCTCTGGCAAGGTAGACTGCTACTCGTGCAGAGGTTAAAATGAAGTAGAAGCTGAAGTATGAGTGGAGCATACAAAGCTAAATACATAATCTATGTGATCACTGCTGTAGCTTTTGGTCTGGCCTCCCCTTTTCCAGCCAGAACCCAAGTCCGAACTGTTTTCTCCTCAGAAGTAGAAACATTTTGCCAGGAAAGAAGGTCTCTGTGGCAGCAAAGGTAGACATGGGTAGCAAGAGAAGAGGTGCCTCAAACAACAGTGAGCAGCCAGGGGCAGAGGCTCGGGAGGTGCTGGGTGAGTGTAAACGGGATGGAGGGGTGATGAAGAGTCCTGAGAATGGGCAGGCGTATAAATGGAGAGAGAAAGGAATTTGAAATTCAATTAGGTGCTCCCGAGGGTTCTTAAGAGAGGAACCCCTATGCCAGAGATGAGCCTGGAGCTTGGAGCTTGGAGCCTCATAAACCCTCCTGAAAGAAGCCAGGCACACCAGTGCTAGGCCATGGATTAGTCTTTGAACTGGTGCTACACAGCCTGTGATTTGCCTGTAGGCACAAGTCACACAGCAGTAAGGAAATGGTTTATTCTAAGAGCAAAGCAGTTGGTGTCAGCTTCACCATCTGAGAACTGAATAGATTATGTAGCTAGAGTATAATATGGTCTAGAGAACGTTACATGGCAAAGCCATGTGTCTCTCCAGACAGCACGAGGGGTGTGTATCTAAGTGCATACACATGAGGTGTACACATAAGTGCACAGGGAGGCTCATGCACTGGATACTGTAAAGACAGTCTGCAGTTGTGTTTTTATTATAGAGACTTCTGTTTTTTAAACAGAGTTGTCAGCAGTCCTGTTCTGTTCTGTTCTGGAAACATGAGGAGCTTTCTGGTGTGAAGAAAAGTATGAGGGACAGAGAGAGAACACGGTATGTGTTCCATTCCATTATCTGGCACAGTGACTTGGGAAAACAGAATCCAGGGTTTGAGTCCTCCCAGCCCCGAGAACTGGGGAGGAGCTGCTTGTTGTGCTGGACCTGCGAGGCCAGGGTGGGCTCCTGGAGGTGGCCATACCAGGGCAGGAGGGGAGCAGGTTTAGTGGAAGGTGTTGGGGTTGGGCCGGATCATCATCACCACTTTCTTGAGTGAGTAGGATCCTCCTCGGAACTCAGCCCAGTAGACCCCATCCTGGTAGCGGCTTCGGTAATGGCCTCCACGGTACCAGACCCCGTTGAGGTTGGAGTGGGCACAGGCGTTATACCACCAGCCTCCCTTCTGATAGTGAGCGCAGTTCCCTGCAGGAGAGAAGAGAGTCAGGAGGTTCCAGGCAGGGTGCTAGGGTCTCCCCTGAACCCTCTCTCAGAGGCCTTCTGAGCAAGAGCACTGGAAAGACAGACCCTGTACAGCAGAGGTCAAAACCGGCCTTTGTAGCTGCTCAGACCTGCCTTGGAGGCTAGGTTTTATAACCAGCTAGCTGTGAGTGCGCAGGCAGTGGCTTAACCTCTCCCACCCACTGCGTTCTCATCTGTAAGAGGAGGGCCGAAATCAAGCCTGCCATGTGAGGAGTAAGTGAGGGCCAGTGTTTAAGGCTGAGCCCAGGCTCCTGCAAAGGAGTCCTGCAGCAAATGGAAATGGAAATGGCCGGGTGTGTGGGGGAGAGAGAAAGGAGTTCTTCACAGGAATTTTTAGAGTTGAAAGAATTGGATCAGGAGTCTTTATGGAATGACAAAGGAAGTGTTTAAGAAGAAATGCCCTTCTTCCTTCCAGCCTATGCTCCATCCAAATAACTTTCTGTGTTATTTCATAAAAAGAGCTATTTCCATGAAACTCTTGGCATTATCACATCATGCTGAGCCTTGCTGCCAAGGACAAGTAGTTCAGAACAATGAGATGCGTGGGCAAGGTGTGAGCCAGCGTGCAGGGACATCTCTCCCCAAGCTGAAGGAGGGAGAGGAGCCACCGTCACGGCTGCGGTGGGAAGCCTGGGAGGGAACGTCTTCCTCAGGAAGGGGCTGCCCTGTCCACCTAGAGGTTGGAGGGCTTGATGGAGCCAAGCCTGTGGGATGGGGTGAGGGGGTCCCAGGCAGCCTGAAGCAGAAAGCTGGAGAGCCTCAGCCCCAGGCACTCAGGTTTCCCAGGGCAGGAGGGCAGTTCTCCTTCTGGGCCATGACTAAGGCCACAGAGTGCAGAGATACAATGATGCCTGTATTGAGCAGGGAGAGCCCTTGGCACACCACAATCAGAGTCCCATTTGCCAGGGGAGGCCCCTCCTGCACTCGCCCTGTACTTCAGGGTCCGGAACACATGTGCGAATTTGAAGTCACAAAATGTTCCTATATGCTCCCCAACAATTGCTGCAGCCACCATCACCCCCATCCCATCCTATCCCAGGGTCCGACAAGCACTGAGGGCCCTGCTTCTGCCCTGCTGTCCTAGACACCACAGCAGCCCTAACCGGAGAGCCCTTGCTGCAGAAGGAGGGCCTGTGCCTCCTCAGGGTCCCTTCCAGCAGGGTCAGTTCAGTGTCAGTGAGTGGACAGAGGTGTTCGTGTGGTATGAAGATGGGCAAGTCATGTCCCACCCTTCCCCTGATGTTAGAGTGTGGGAGTACAGATGCCTTGGGGACCTGGAGTGAGGCACCCTCACCTCATAAGTAGGTGTCAGGTCATTTTGGGAACAGTCTACAGTACTTGTTCCCCATTCAGACTAGGACTAACCAGGAGGATGGGCAGCAGGGCTCAGGCTCGCCCAGCGGAGCAGACTCTGCCTCGGCCTGGAGGTGGTGCCAGCATCTCCATCCATCACCAGAGGGACTTGTCTCAAGAAATAGATGTGGGGCTTGGGAGGCATCAACCATGGGTGAGGCCAATGTCTGCACCCAGGGCCAGGCCCTGTTTGTGCACCTTACAGTGTTCTATGCTTGTTTTTACTTGATAAAGACTTTCTAGTAAACCCTGTAGTTTGAGGCCTGTGATCTTGGACAAATCATTCATCTCTGGTTTCCTCTTCATGGCTTCCTTTCAGTGTTACGTTAACATTACATGCTAATAGCAGTAAGTAAACAGAGCTCCCTCTCAATGTCAAGTCCCAGACAAGGCACTTGAGGTACCTTGTCTCCAACCTCCTCCCTATGCTGCCCCTCAGGTATTGTTCTTACTTTCCGATGGGGAAACCCTCAGGGAATTTGTGCAGCGGGCCGAGGACATAGCTTCAGAATTCAGGGTCTATGGCCTAGAATCTGCTGGTCTTTGTGCCCCAAACAGGGAGATGAGCAGGGCACAGTGTGGCACAGGAGTGAGTTGGCTCAAGGCGGCCCTTGTAGATGTGATTTGTGCACCTGTGTTTTTCTTTTTATAAAAGCCACAGTGACTCAGCTTTGCAAAGGAGATCTGAGAGCAGTGGGCAGAAGTGTCCTTCAAGAGACAGAAACGGGTTCAGGCAGCTTGGCGTATTGCCCTGGACTCTGGAGTGAGGGGCTCTGGCTTTGGGTGACCTCTTTTTACTTCCCGAAACCTGGCTTAGACTCCACCTTCATACCTGTGTAGACATCATGGTCTCTGTCAAGGGTGGTGAACTGCTTGCCGTTGTGCCAGGTGAAGGAGTCGCCTGCGTTGCCATGGTAGCGCCCCAGCCGCAGCTTGTAATACTCGCTCTCTGGCTCCACACGGAAGCTGGCATATTCTGCAAAGACCTTGCGGCCGGACCAGTCCTCCATGGTCACCAGCAGTTTATAGTTGCCTTGGTTGGTCAGCCAGTAAATGTTCTCCAGGCCTAGCCAGTACTCACCATCAATGTTCCCAAACCCTTGCTGTGAAGACCAGGGAGAGTATGAGTGTGGAACCTGCAGTGGCCCAGCCAGTGTCCTGGCAACCGGGACACCCACCACCGTAAAACAGCCTGGGAAGTAAGCGGAGCACTAGGAGACCTGAGTCCTTCAGCTCCATGCCCTCCCTCACCTCACAATGGCTCTGTGACTTTTTGGGTCATTTCACCTTTCTGAGCCTTAATTACACATCACTCAAACATGGAGAGTATGCAGAGCTCTTAGCCAGGCACTACCTGCAATGTCACCATCCCCACAGGGCTGCTGCAGGAGTGTGTGTGATGTGGTCATTTGAAGCCTGGGACACAGAAGACATGTGGCCAGCATTTCTTGGACAGAGCCCTCGCCTCCCTGAGCCTCAGTTTCCTTCTCTGAGGATGTGCCATTCCACCTCTACTACATCTGATAGATGTGAGCTGTGACAGATGTGTCATAGCTACCAGGGCTCCTCCTAGGTCTGAAACCCAGTGGTTTTGTTATGGTTTTTAACATGTAGTTTTGAGGTAATCACTTGAGTAATGGCTGCCAAAGTTTTGTAAGCGGATGGATGTATTCATAGTGATGATCCTTGTTATGTAGTAAACTCTCTGTGTGTCTGCACTCTGATCAGAACGTTCCCTGAGTTTCTTTATCAGTCCTCACACTGACTCTTAAGAGTGAGGTGCTGTCATTGTTCTGTTAGAGTGGACAAGCCAGGACTCAAGCTAAGACACATCTCAAGCACTGTGCTGTCCCACTCCATGAGAGAGGAGGAGTGTGGAAGAGTCTAGGAGCCCACAACTTAGGAGGGTGAGGAGGAGAAGCAAGCAGAGACAGACTGATCAGGAGGTGGGCTGGGGCAAGGAGGAATGAAGGAGACAAAGAAGGCTACATGACAGAGCCATGTGTGGGGGCAGCATGGCTCATGGTAATGGAAGTTGTGACTTTGGTTTCAGGGGCCTAAGCTGCAATCATTTCTTTGACACACTGCAGCTGTGCAGCCATGGGCAAGAGACTCCTCTTCCCACCCACAAGCAGTACCCTCTCTGAGGGTTGCTTTGAAGCTAAATGAGGTCACAGCCAAGAGCCCTGCATAGTTTCTGCCACATAGCAGGTGCCTAGTGACCTGAGCTCTTTAGGCCACCTTCAGGCCTTTCAGCTCAGTCTGTGTTTAGAGAAGTGAGTGATGTGAAGCTGATACCTGGCAGCCTTTCCTACTGTAAGAATGAGCACTATGGTGCCCTGGAAACTGGGGAGCCTGGAGGATAGGCCTGCAGTTAAGTCCAAGGTGGTGCCAAATATCCAATGGGAGCCTTTGAGGGAGTTTTCCAAGGCCTGGGCGCCTCAGACATGTCCTTCTGGGCTTCAAAAACAGGCAGTAAGATGCTGCCCACACTCCTGGCGCAGTGAGGGGATTCCTACCCTATCCTGTGAGACACTGGTGGTCCAGACTCTCAGTTGCTATCTTGCAGTAGGTGCTGGCAGCAGGCAGGGAAGCGGTCTGTCTGCCCCACGCAGATGGGTTTGCAAAAATGCCCTTGTCTTAGTTTTTCTTGGCTCGGTGTTGACCACTTATGGCATGGACAGGCCTTGCTGGGTCTTACCTTGTATGTCTCCCAGTTCCTGAAGAAGTTGACAGAGCCATCCAGGCGCCTCTGAATGACTGTCCAGCCCCCAGGGTCATGTCTCTGGTCACACCACACCTGCATGAGGCGATTAGTGTTCTCAGGCTTCACCAGGTAGATGGAGCTGGTGTCATGGCCGTCCTCCAGGGCCTGCAGACAGTCTCTCCATGGGCCTAGGGACACACAGGTGTACATGTCACATACTGCCTATTTCCTGGCCACGCTACACCTGTACCCCAAACAGCATAACCCCTGGAAGGGCTCCAGCGGGGAAGCACAAGGACCGGGCTGGACCCAGAGCCCAGCTCTGTAACTGGAGGCTTTAGGATGTTTCTGGGAATTACATATTGGTCCCCCAGTGTCTTTTGGAGACCAGATTCCTTTCAACTCAACCTGTGTGTTTTCTAGAGAAAATGCAGTGGCCAGATGCTTAGAGCCCATGTATTCAGACATCTACAGAGCCCTGAATTTGGAGGTCATTCTACAGGCAGGCCCATGGCTTACAGGATGAGGTCTGGGGCACATACAGTGCAGTGCATGGCTTTCTGCAGCTGAGACCAGAGGGTTCTAGGAGCCTGAATAGCTGTCACAGGTCTTTCAGCCCCTTCACTCGTGGCCCCAGACTCCCCATGTTTTGAGTGGGTCATGTCAGCAAGAATGTACAGACCTGAATCACCAGCATCCAGACAGGCGGAGGTCTTACTGATCTGAGGAACCTTTGGGGCTGAGGAGGGGGTTTCAAAGCCTAGTCATGCCACCACATAGTTTAAAATTTTTTTAAAAATCTGCATTTTGCTTCAGTCTTTTCAAATATTCTCCAAATTGAGAATGGCTAAGATCAATAATGCTAAGAAAATTCCATCTTGCTCTATTGATTTCTATGTTCAACAATCTTTGTGTTCCTGACCCCACAGGGACCGAACCGGGTCCTGAAGGCCAGGGGAGCGCGGAGCTGCCCCATGGCTAGTGAGGCCCTAGACAGTCCTGTCTTGTCCCTATGTGTTGGGGTGAAGACCAACAGTGACAGGCATGCTCAGCTCCAGCCTCTCAATCTTGCAGTAGGCTGTGGCTGGGCTCACCTAGTCCCCAGGTGATGGTTATATATGCAAGGCTTGAGTCTGAGGCCTTGTTAGACTTCTCAGGTCCATCTGGAGATCTTGTAGTTGTGTGTGAGCACCCCGGGAGCCTGACAAGAAGGTGGGAGCTGCCTTGCTCCTCTGTCAGTCCCTGGGGGCCCGTTCAGTTAACTGAGCTCTTCCTTTCATTCTCCAGAGGCCTCTTACCCATTTACTTCTTTCCCAGCCCTCTCCCCACATGGAGGATGGGCTCACTCCTTCCTTCTTTCTGTCCTACCTCCCTTCCTTCCCTCCCTGTTGCCCTCTTCTGCCCCTCTGGCTCCACTTAGTATCTGTCTTGGGGAAGGGGAGGCCTAGATCTCCAGGAAGGAGAGAAACCTTTTGGTTGTTTTTGGCTAGAGCCCCAGAGCCTGAGGCATAGAATAGGAGTCTGTCCCTGACAGCTGAAGCAGAGCATGGTAGGTGTAGGAGGCTCCTAGTTCTTCCTGAGAGCAGCACAGGAGGGGCCATTTGATGGGAGTGCTGGTCACCAAAGATCCAGCAGTAGCCTGCATATATACCACTGAAAGTAAGTGACCAGGCTCCTGGAGATCATCAGATGGAGGGACACTCTTTATAAGGGACACGGTGGATGGTGGCTTTGGAGATAACTGGGAAGGTGGCAGTTCAGCCTTGCGACAGCCTGTGCTGCCTTAGCGTACCATCGATGGTTTCAGTATTACCTTTGGCATTCCTGTAAAGGGCTGCTTTTAAAAAGCAGGTGTTAACAATGTTTTGGGATCTCTGGTTCCTTTCAGAATTTGGGGAAAGCGCTAGACTCTCTGTTCTGAAAAACACACAGACTTACATAGTTTTGTAAACAGTTTCAAGGCAGATGGACCCCAGGCCCCTGCTTATGAACCCTAGCTCTAGGAAAGTCCTGACTTGAGTGGCAATAATAACAATAAAATAGTAACAACAGTGAATCCAGCACTTCCTTCAGCAAGCCCTGCCTGGGTGCTTCCACCCCTCATCCTGACACCCCTGGGAGGTGTCAGTGGTCTCCCCATTTTGCAGATTAGGAAATTGGAGCCTGAGAACATTAGGGGACACCATAAGGCCATATGGCCAGTGAGAGGCAGGGCAGACCTGGCCCTGAGTGGTCTGCATGACCCAGAGCCCACATTCCATAACAGCCAAAGTACACTTGAGGGTCGGGGTCCAGGCTTGGAGCTCTGTGTCCTGAGGGCTGCTCCTTACATTTTTATTCTGTTAACCTGCCAGTCAGCCAGGTTTAAAAAATTATAATTCATCTCAGTCAAGATGTGAAATCTCTTTTTTAATCGTTATTGATAATTTTTCCCCCTATGTCTTCTCCTGGTAGCCTTTACCCATGTTTCAATTGCTTGAATGTATTCTTTTCTCTCTTATTCTTTCTTTTCTTAGGAGGCAGGTAGAGAGGTCTGGCAATTCTTTAAGAATTTTAGAATCATGGTGTAGCTATAAAATAGTACCAAAGTGCTTAACATCTTCTGCTGTGAGGAAAGACTCCCCATGTCCCTGCACTTCCTGTGGCTCTGGGACCTGTCGGCTTCCATCAAGTGCCATGGCTCCATTTTCCCTCTGAGGCCGTTGTAGACTTCTACCAAATCACCTGCATTCAAATCGCCTACATTTCCTTTTCTTACACTAAAGGCACTAAGGGAAAGATAAAACACATAAATGGTGGTTGAAAATTTGTCTAAGAAATAGGTTGTCCTGAGAAATTGGCAGCTGGAAAATGATTGTGTGGGTCTGTTACAATGGTTTAGTACAAAACAGGCTGCTCTGGTGAGGAGTCTATAACCATAACATAAAACAGTGCAGGGATGACTCTGTCCCTGTCATACACAGAGAAGCCCATGATGCAGGCCAGGTTGATGAAGGAACCATGATTGAGGAGGTTGGCACCAGGGAAGGACTCCTGGCACACAGACTCAGGGCCACGGCTCCAGTCTTAGTTCCTGCACCCACTCACAGGGTGACCTGGGGAAGGTTCCTCTCCAAGCCTCAGAGTCTCGGTTTCTTCTTCTATAAAATGAGAAAAGAACACGAGCTGTCCTGAGAGTGACGCCAGCACAGAACACTCCAAGTCTCACCGGAGCAGGTGCTCAGCAAAATCTCTTTATTCGCTTTGATACCCAGAGGCTGACTTGATGGAAATCATTCATCCCTTCTCCTTCAGCTATACATTACTGGTTTTGTTTTGTTTTATTTTTTATTTCCAAGACTAAATATAAGATTATTTACCAATAGATATTTTCTACAAGTTGTACTTTAAAAGTCAGAATTTCTATGAAGGCCACAATGATGTACTGAAGAAAAGAATGGAAATCTTTTTTGTCAACAAAGCTGGATTTTCAGTGTGCAGTAGGCAAAGTGCTTCCCTTGGCACAGGGCAAGCACCCAGGCAGTATTTACTTTGGCTCCCCTTCTAAGTGTCGGCTCTGCCCAGAGCACCAGGCCAACACTAACTCAACAGCACCTAGGCCCAGAGATCATGAGTGCCCCAACCTCACCTCTATAAAGACCACATTTACACCATAGCTGGAATGTTCCACATGAAGAGCAGCCACCATGGCGAGCTGAGACTGTGGTTCTCACAGGGGCCTCAAAGGTTTGGGAAGTGTGCAGGACCAGAAGCCAGTAGGACAGGGCAAGATCCTGGCACTCAGGAGCATAAAATGTGCAGGGCTCAAGCCTTTGGATCCCAGTGCCAGTTCTGGGAAGTGTTGGAGGTGATCTGGTGGGGTGTCCACACCCCCTTGCACCTACTCCCTGCTCTCTGAAGTTCTTGATGGAGGCATCAGGTACAGAGGGTACACAGCCTCCCAGGAAACCATGGACCACCTTCTGGATGGCCTCCAGACAGCACCTTTCTGGTAAAGGTTAGTGGGGGCCAGTAGCCAGGTCAGGTCTGGACTGTGGTCAGCTCCTGTCTCCCAATCTCTGCCCCTCAAGACTCAGTGTCGAAGTGGGCTCACAGATTCCACCTCCTACCACCCTGAAAGGTAGCTTGGTGAATGTCTGGTGGGGAGCCACCTGCAGCTCCTCTGAGACTAGGGAGTGGGGAGATGGAAATGGGCCTTCGTGGGCAGCACAGTTCTGTCCCGCTGTGCTCCAGGAATGGGAGGAACAGAAACAAGTGACAGGCCCTACATCCCCTAGGCCTAGTTCTGAGAGTCAGAACCCCACTGCCTTAGGCTTTGCAGAGCCCTAATGGCCTGACTGTCCTGGGAAACTTCCGGGAATGGTTTAGTCCCTACTGTGGGCCCTGGGGACAAGCTGCTGTGATATCACCAAGCCACCTGCTGTTAGAACTGTATGTAGGTATTGAGTATTCTCATAGATGATCTACCTCTAAAAATTGTTTTCACCACGCCATGAAACATTTTTCTAACAGAAGTGATTGTTAAAAATTGGATCTGATATTTCCTGCTGCAATATGTCCATCTGAATGCCAGAGCATGCAGACTGCTTAGGTGCGAGTTCCACCCTGGCCAGCATCAGGACAGACCCTGGCATCTGAGATAAGAGGTCCATGGGCTGGGTCTCTGAGGACTAGACATGTCTGATCTCCAATCTGTTTATCCACAAGTTTGGTAAAATAATAATTGGATCATGGCCACATATATTCTATATCACTCACTACTCTTCAGCAACCCAGAAGCCATGGCCTGAACACAGGAATCACCTTTCTGTTTGTGAAGACACCTCTGGGTTCTGCAGAGCCACGCAGTCCACATGAATGTTACTTCCAGTCATTTCAGGAAAAGAGTCCAAAGGCTCCTGCCTGCTCTTCAAGCTGCTTTCATGCTCAGGTGGCAGGCACAGTGCCCTGGGTCAATGAGTTTTTCAGGAGTTTATGCAAATATTTGAGGCCTCAGTAAAACTTACTGGCTCTAAAATATGAAAACTACAAAAATGGAATTTATTGGTATATAATTAAATTCTGCAAAGTGTAACATATTGTCAAGTTCATTAATTATTAAATTTAGCCTTTATAAAAATGCCCTTACTTTTGAAAACAGTTTGTAGGTTACATTTTTCTCACTCCCTAGGAATTCCAGAATACACCG